TTTATTTAAATTCAACTTAAATTATTTATGTATATAATATAAATTTTTTATAAATATATATATGTATATGGGAAGATTTATATTAATATATATATATTTATAATAATTATATATAGATTTATAATAATATATTAAATACTAAATATAAATATAGTACTTAGTATTTACTAAATACTAAGTTAAGTTTAGTACTAGTATATAATACTTTGTTTAGTACTATAATAGTACTAAATATAAATAAAATAATAAGAAAATACAAATTTAATAATAAATATTATTTAATTTATTATTCAATTACTTTTTAAATGAATTATAAAATGTATAATAATACTAATTTATTTTTTTTTAAATCTAACAATAAGTGTGTTATTATACTTATTTTAATTAATGTGAAATTAAACTTATATATTATTTAATAATAAATTAAATAATATATTAAATACTAAATATAAATATAGTACTTAGTATTTACTAAATACTAAGTTAAGTTTTTAGTACTAGTATATAATACCTAGTTTAGTACTATAATAGTACTAAATATAAATAAAATAAAAAGAAAATAAAAATTTAATAATAAATATAATTCAATTTATCATTAAATTACTTCAATTTTAAATTAAATCATTTGATATGCATCTAAATGCACTTGTGCATAAAAATACTAACACCTTATTATCTAATATACTTATTTTAACAAATGTGAAGAAATTAGACTTGATTATTTAATTTACTGTTAAGTTACTTCATTGTTAAATTACTTCACTTGTAAATCAAATCATTTTAAATGCATCTAAGTGCACTTGTGCATAGAAATACATTAAACCTTTTTATCTAACACACAAAATATTAAAAAAAAAAAAAAAAAAAGAAACCAATTTAGTTCTCAATTTCAATATTAAACAATAAATCAAATTATTCTATACACTACCTTAATCAAATATATCCACACTACACTTCATTTATTCTTATTAAAAGATAAAAGATAAAACAAAACAAAATTAACAAAAGATGAGATAAACATAAAAAGAATAAATCAAAATATACAAACACACACACACACACATGTTAGATTAAATATCAAAAAACATTGAACGTCCTTATGCTAAATTTTACACAATGCGGGTTTATACACTACTACATCTATCCACAATAAATATATATACATACATACATACATATACATATATACACATACATACACATAATGTATGGCATGCATACATAATTATTACGTGGATACTGAGCAAATAAATGCATAGACTATGCAGAGAAAAAGGAAAACATATTATACGGGTGGGTGAGTGGGTGGTTGGTTAGTTGGTTGGTTGGTTGGTAGCGATCTCTCTTTCCAAGAATATAATTCTCTCGACCTTGAACCTTCCACCATGCTACCGTATTCCTACAGCAATGCAGCAACAGCAGCAGTAAACTTTCTGCTGTTGAGTATGCGTTAACTCAAACGGTACTGCATAATTAATGCGCAATTCGATAACACTGCAGTTAACTTACAAATCTCAGCATAAAAAAAAAAAAAAATAATAAAAAAAAAACCCACACAGAATTTCAATTCACACAAATATCTAATAAATCTCAACCATTATACTTGTGAGAAAATTCCTATGGTTTAAATTAATGTAAAAAATAATTAATATATGATCATGGGAGTGTTACTGTATAATTTTTTATATGAAAAAAAAAAAAGAAATAAAAGGAAAAGAAATCTGATTATACAATAAAAAGAAGAAAAATATCAAATAAATCACACCCTTATTTTGATCAATGTAAAAAATGATTAGAAAAATTAACTTTGTGTTGTTACTGTATAATTTGTAATAAAAAATATAATAATAATAATAATAAAAATAAAAGAAAAATAAATTTAATATTATACAATAAAAAGAAAAAAAGAAAAAGTGAGGAAAAATATAAAATAAATTCCACCCTTATTGAACAATGTAAAAAATAAATTAAAATTAACTTTGTGTTGTTACTGTATAACTTGTAATATAAAAAAAAATAAAATAAAATAAAATAAGAAATCTACAAAAGAAACAAATTATTTTCTATTTTACTAAACAGAATAATACTAAAATAGGACTAGAAAGACAATCTCAGACCTTTGGCATGTCTCCAATAATTCATTCCGCCCTTTTCTTCCCTTCTTCTTCTTCTTCTTCTTCTTCTTCTTCTGTGATTTTATTCCATTTTATTTCTTTCTCTTTCATTCTTTTCATTTTTATCTCATTTCTTTTTTTCTAGACTATACATCTAACGATAATCACGTAGAAGAACGCCTTTATCACATTGATCCTTTCATTTTCGATCCTCCCTTCTCCTCCCCTTGCTTTCCCTTCATTCAACTATCCACCCTTCTTCCCTTTCCCGTTCTTTCACCCACATTTCATGGACACGTCGTCTACGAAGTTTGCTGGATCTTAATTTCACCAGAACACAATCGTGAGTTTCCCTTTCCTTACCCATTCCCTTTCCCTTTCTTAGGTTAGTTCTCAAACTTCTTCTTTGTCTCACCCTTCTCAATGAGATTGAGAAATAGAAAGGGGAAAATTAAATCAATTAGATAAGGGTAGTAGACGAGTGATGATACAATAAAAACCGACGTGACGTTACTTCATGCTTTCTCTTTCCCTTATTCCCTACTAAATATATAATATATATATATATATGTCTTTTCATCCTTAAGAAAGATGTGAGAAAGATGTTTACTGTATAGTACTCTTAAACCTAATCGAGTTATATCTTTCTATTCTCGTCAACTAAATTTGACCTGCCACCTTGTATACACAATTTTATCTTACACCTAATATA